CACACACTCTCTCACACAAAGACACACACACAAACAGAAAGAAACAAACAGACACACACACACGTGCGCAGGCAGGCAAAGTAACATACAGACAGCTAGCAGTTAGCATAGCAGCTAGCTCGGCATGTTTTCCTCCATTCATTTTCTTTAGCTTAGCTGTTATGCTAACGGAAGCGGTGGCTCCTCTGAGACTGCGCACTACACTTCACCTGTGCGTTTTCACACAGGTAAAACCCTGAGATCCGCTTCACATAGATCCCCGAAAACACGAAGCGACCTCCGCCCGCCCGGGCCTCTCCCCCCCGCCCTCTCACCGATCTCTGCAGCTCTCCCAGCCACAGCGAGGCGCGCTCCTTCCCGGCCGGGTCCGGGTCGTGGTACAGGGCCTGGACCGCCTGGTACACCAGCGCCAGGCTCGGTTTGCCGCCCTCCATAGCTCGGGTCAGACACAGGGACGCGGTGAGGCAGACAGCTCGGGGTCCGGGTGCTCGGATCCGGGTTCAGGGTCCTAAACGCTCCGAGAGCCGACCGCCATCTCACAGGCTTTCCGCTGCAACGGCAATCCCGGTCCCACCGGAAACACGGGCACCAAAAGAAGTTCCGCTTTGTCCTCCCGGAAGAAGACTTCTGTGAGAGGGCAATTAAAAAAATAAAATGATGAAATAAAATCTAGTATATTAAAATAAAACAAAACTAGGGACACAATAATAATACGATACAATAAATTACAATGCAGTACAATAAAAAAATAATTTGAATTTAATGACAACTTATCATAACCATCCATCTTCTGCTTCACACCTGGGTTTGGGTGGTGAGGGCAGTAGCCTGAGCCAAAAAGACCAGACCTCCTTGACCCCAGTCACCTTGACCAGCTCATACAGGGGGAACACCGAGATGATCCCATTTCAGCTGAGAGATTTTATCTCTGAAGTGAGAGCATCCCTAACAGTGGCAGTCCTAGCCTGTTTGGCACCCTGGGCGAACACTCCCTCTGGAGTTTAGTCTGTTACTGTTGCTATTTTTACCATTTCTTCTTGGAACAACTGTAACCCACATAATTTCCTTAGGGATTAATAAAGTATTCTGATTCTGATTCTGATTGTTTCAGGATG